GCGTCAAAGTCATGGAAAACAACAGGTGGTCATCACAGCAGAGGATTATTACCTTCCTTAAAGGTAACGTGGCGCAATACCGACGTCTCAAGATCACAGCTCTTAGGCCATCCATATTGGAGATCCAATGTGGATGTCTCTCAATAAAAAAAATATTAAAAACACACTCTATCTTCCTTTTACTCAACTTTATACTTTCTTTTTCATTTTTTTATTCAACTTTTATTAATTTTATATTTAAACACACTCACATTCTCTCTCCAAATGTCACTATTTATGTCTTCCTAAAGACACAATCTCTCCAATAATACCTACTATCTCATCTCTTTACTCAAATTTTATTAATTTTATATTTCAATACACCCTATTATTTCAACTAAAAACATTCTTTTTATTTTTTTTACTCAATTTTTAATAATTTTATATTTAAAGACACAACAAAATGTCTCCAATACGGATGCTCCTACGGTGCTCCTACGGATGCTCCTACGGTGCTCCACTGACCACCGAATCATAACCTCTCCTTCTCTGTCTTTTCTCTCTCCCCTTCTCGCTGACACTTTCCAATTACTCTTTTTCTTTCTACCTGTGGGTCCCACAATCACTCTTATAAACTGCGAAGCAGAAGATTTCTTGTGCCAGAAGAATTACTTTAATCTGACTATTCTACCCCTTTGGAATGATTATTTGTTTTTTTTGAAGTTTTGGCTAGGTGGCTATAAGCCTTGGTCCCAAAGCATATTATTATTATACCTTTATTACAAACTTTATTTTGTTTGCTATTTATTCCCACCATTTTATTTTTCAATATTTTTCCAAAATACATTGCTTAAATGATGCCAATATAAATAAATAAGATATTTGCCACAAAAAATGTACTATAAGATCTTTGTAATATACATGTATTAAATATTTTGTTATAATTTTGATTAAATAAAATCTATGACTTGAATCTTAAATTAAATCTCAGATTTTCACACCAAAAAAAACAAGAAAAAATATATTATAATCTCAGATTTTCATGAAAAGTAAGAATTACAAAAATAAATCTAGGATTATTAATCCACTCATGAAAAATGCAAAAGTCATGAGAAATTATAAACCGACGGTTAAGAAAGCAGCTGGGTCGCACCTAAGCTCGGAAGGTTGGTTCACATCGAACCGTCACATTGAAGATACACCAGCAGCATTAGGCTTATAGGGGTACTTTAGTCACTTCCAGTACATGCAGAATTTATTAACCCGTACACGAGGGGGCAAAGACTCATTACTTGGCACTGTTTA